TAATCTCCTCCTGTCCCTTGGAGCTAGTGGTGTTATTTCTGCATAAGCTTGAAGCTAAGGAAGATACAAGATATACAGCTTAGAAGAATCAGGATTCAAACCCAGAGATGTGCTTTCCCCCGCAGCATGCCCCAGCACTCTCCATCCATCCGTTCCCATTTACTGCTTGCCAGCTGCGTGCTGCAGGCCCTGTCCCGGCCCTCATAGCTGCTGTTTCATTTCTTTATACTGGCCCTTGTCTATATGCCTAAGCTGTCTGTATGCTCGTGTCAACTCCTAGGGAAAAAAGCGAGCATATTGGGAATTCTGCTTAGCACCCTTCACAAAAAAGAATGTAGTTAAACACGAAACATTTGCCTAGTCAAACACACATACAGATCTGCTTTCCTGTATCCCTGTTACCTGCCAATAGCCTTTGGGCCAGTGGGCAGAACATGTCATCTTAGTGCTACAGTGAGAGGTCTCTCATTAACTAACTTTATAATCACACAGCAGGTCCTATTACAGCTCTAGTCTCTTTCAGTTTCAAAGTGTCACTTTTAATACCACTTTAGAGAATGGTTGGGTCTTGGATATGTTGTTAACAAAAAGTATAGTTGTAGTTGACACTTAAGACTTTACCTATAATATAATAATTTTAAAACTCTCATTTGATCGTAAACTTTTTTCTTTTTAAAGGTTTTTGACGACTGCCATGAAGGTGGTGAGATTTCACCATCTAACTGTATTTATATGACAGAGTGGCTCGAATTTTAAGAGAGCTAGGAACTTTACTGACATTTTGCAAATGAAGTTACTTTGAGAGCAAATAATTTAATTCGTGATGGAACATCAAATACCCTTGAAAGCAAACTTCACAATAATGGATAGACTAGCTGCTATGAAAAAATATTTTTTTATCTATGAAGACTAAATTTATAATGGTAGAGTAGCCAACGGAATATGAAGCAGGTAAGGCTAATACTGAAATCCATTCTTCGATAAATACTTAGAACTTCTGGAAGACCACCTTCTGAAGCCTTCAAGACTTGTGATGGTTCATGGAAAAAGAAGCCAATAAATCTAAATTTGCCAAATACTATGATAATGGCTAGAGCTTAAAAACGCCCTTTTCCAAGTTAGTTATTAAGATCTTCATTGGAAATTTTTTACATCTACTTCACTATTGCCATTTGTTTTCTCTTTCCTCAGTGGTTTCATTGAGAAGTAATTAAAAGTGATGGGGCAGGAATAGCACTTAGGGAAGAGTGGGGAAGAGAATGGAACATCTCTTTTCTGCACATTATTAATTCCTTATGTCAGAAATATTATTTCAGAGGATTATGCCTTTGTACTTACCTCAAATGCAAATGATGACTATTATCAAGGATTTTTAGTGCATAGTTAGATTATTCTCATCTTCAAGAGAATGTTTTCACTGATCCTTTGTTAAAGTCTTCCAAGTTTCATTCTGTGGTTCAATTGTATTATTTGCTAGAACTGTCCCATAATCCATAACCCTCCATTCATACTTCATTGTGAGCAGGATACCATTCTTCTTTTCTTGTCCTATTTTAGATTTGTTTCCTTATTCTCTTCTAAAATCATGGTGTAATTAGTCTAGGCTAAGCAGAAAGCCATTATAATTGTTCTCAGTTCTAATAGTACTTCCAGTCCTAATCGTTAGCCATAGAGAAAACATTAGGTTATTCAGTGTACTGTTGAACAAAAGTTAGCTTTTTAGGATCTCAGCTATTGTATTTTCACTTTGTACCTCCACTCAGTGATTTCTGTGTCCAAGCCAAAAGTATGGGACCAAGGGAAAGAAATTGAAGGTCAGCTACTACTGACACCGGAGTTCAACTACCAGTTTGGAGATTCTCCAAGTGGGCAACCATCAGAAGGGTAACTTTGAGATAAATGGGATCAATAAAAGGAAATCAGCTCAGTAACGAACTAAGAACCAGATGGAGTTTGTGGCCAGCTCTATAAAATAGCATTCGATGACACCAGCACTTTGAAACAAGGATCATTTCAAGTATTAAATATATAGAAGATACAGAAGAATCTAGGAGCCTGAAACTACACAAGCCTTTCTCTTCCACCCCCAAGGAAAGCTAGAATAGTAAGAACATTATTTGTCCTTTTTGGAACCTGGCCTGTCACAGAGGCGCTAGTCTTATTTAATGAGAAAACTGAAGTTGGGGGGAGAGGCAGATGTAGGGAGAAGGAAGCAGTTCATGTATTAACTACAGATTTTGTATTGTCTTGATAGCCAAAGATTGGTTTTTAAAGCTTACAATCAAAGGCTACAACAAAAGTTCATTGACTCACCAGAATAAAGAGACCCTTTAAATGGTTTTCCCATAGCAGGTCTTTCATTCTGAATATTAACTGAAGGAGAAAAGAGACACTAGTTTAAAAATATAGCACCTCTGAGGGCGCCTGGGTAGCTCAGTCAGTTGAACATCCAACTTTGGCTCAGGTCATGATCTCGCAGTTCTTGAGTTCGAGCCCCACTTCGGGCTCTGTGCTGACAGCTAAGAGCCTGGAGCCTGCTTTGGATTCTGTGTCCCACTTTCTCTGCCCCTTCCCCACTCATGCTCTGTCTCTCTCTGTCTCTCAAAGATAAATAAATGTTAAAAAAAAACAAACAACAGCAGCTCCAATATATAGTTAAATAGATATTTACCCACCAGAAGTAAACTTTGACCAAAACAAATTATGGGGCTCTAGACTCATGACACCAAAAAAAATAAAAAATAATAAAAAAATCAAATTGTGGTGAAGTCCTAATCCTTACAGTTGATTTCCATTTAGTATAAGGTATTTTGGTCACCTGAGAAGAGATACACCCTGAAGTCATGGCCCTTCTGTTCTGCTTACTAATGATCATAGGGAGTCAGACAATCCTGAGAGACCGTGATTCAGTGGTTTAAATGGATAGTTTATGTGGCATTCTTCTATAAAATTCCTCTGAGCTTCGTTTGATGAGGAGTAAATTTTATGAGCATGATTTTTATGGTGATCAGCTGAGTAAAAACTAGTCAAACAAGTAATTTCAAGTTGAGTGACTTTTACTTTGAACTATTACTCATTATTAGATTGTGGGTAAGGGAAGAAAATACATGCCCTAGATTACTGCTGCTGGACATTTTATAGTGACAGTATTCCACATCTGCTGTTCAGTAAAAGTACCCACTTGTCATTTCGTGACTGTTAAGACTTGAATGAAGAAATGAATTCAATTTATGGCTACCTGTGGTTACTGGCTACCATATTATATAGCACAATCCTTACAGTCACATAGGTCTATGTTAATTATAGGAATGAAGGATATCAAAATTATTTCTCACTTGTATGTATTTTTCTGTGGAGAAAGAGGACAAATATTATTAACTGTTATTTGTAGTGTAAGTTTGTAATTTTTTGAAAAAGGACTTCAGAAAACAAGGCCAAGAGTAAGTAGAACAATTACTAATTCCAAACAATCCAAATAGAATCAAACTTTGGTTATAGACTTGGTCAAATCAAACATCTTTAAGAAAATTACTCAATTGATTTATCTAATTTGCTTCTCACTAACATGTCAAATGAGTTGTTTTAAACAGTCATTTTAATTATAAAAGTAATACATGTTCACTATAACAAACTCAATCCCCAGGTGTACAAAATAAAAAGGAGACTTCCTTCACACTGTACCTAAAATTCCCATTCCCCAAAGATAACTGCTATTAAAAGTTTAGAGTCTTTCCATTTTTTCTTTGAGCACATTTAGAAGCCAAGACTTTTCAGGTTAAAATGGTGGCTTTGAATCTCCTGTAGACATAAATAGTGAGTTAATTCATATTTTTGCAGCAAACATAAGGTTCTGTAACATGTACAAAATCACTGGAAATTGTTTTGAGTCAATACTTAGGGATTGTAACAGCCAAAAAATATTGGAAAGAAAAAACAATTTTTTTGAAGGAGTATGATCAGAAGAAAAGTGGAATGATGCTTGAAAGTGAGCTAACAGAACATAGAATTTAAAAGGTAGAACTCTTTACAGAACAAAATTTGAAGTATGGAAAGATTACTTAGAATTTTGTAACAAAATCTAAATTGTTCCCATGATTTCATCCTTTGACATTAAATTCATTTCTCAGGCTTAGAGAGAATCATTTGAAGCACCTGGATAAGTTAATTCCTAATGGCAGAGGTCACAAATGGGTGGCTTGGACTTTGTGTGTCTTGCAGTGTTTGTACATTTTTTATTTACGCTGTCGTTGTCGACTTATGTAATCCATATGTACATATATTGGGCATAATTCATATACATATAAACTGTGTATATAAACATATAGTCCCTAGATATGAAAACCACTGCATGAAGTTTTTCCCTCAAAAAATCAGAAAATTGGCAACACCCTGCTACCTTCCCAGATGGCAACGATTTAGAAAGGGCACGAGTTCTCCATGCTGCCCAAATTCCCACCACGCTGGTCTAGCACACATCTGGTTGGCTATGCTGACATATTTGTATAGGCTGGGCTTCTGTTCCCTGCCCGACCTGGCAGACCCAACTCTTAGATCCATATGTATCCCTCTCCCTCAACATGTTTGAAGGACTGGGGCAGGGGTCAAAGATGAAGGCCCCAGTCTGGGTTTAATGTCTTGGGCCAGCTCAGAACAGCTAGTGTTTTGAGCTCTAAGCCAACACTCTGGATCTTTAGTCATTTTCCTCACCCCACCCCACCCTGCCAACTAGAAAAAGGTTCATTTCAAAGAGGAGTACAACTCCTACAACATACACAAACTAGTTTTTTTCAACGTTTTTATTTATTTTTGAGACAGAGAGAGACAGAGCATGAACGGGGGAGGGGCAGAGAGAGAGGGAGACACAGAATCGGAAACAGGCTCCAGGCTCCAAGCCATCAGCCCAGAGCCTGACGCGGGGCTCGAACTCACGGACCGTGAGATCGTGACCTGGCTGAAGTCGGACGCTTAACCGACTGCGCCACCCAGGCGCCCCTAAACTAGTTTTAATGTGAACTGGGAATCAGGAAAGCTGGATTCCACTTCGATCTTACTCACTTTGGACAGATAAAGGTGGTTAAACTGTCCTTATGTCCCTGATCAAATGAGAAAAATACTGCTTTAGTTCATGGCAGTTTGTGAGATAGAAATCCAATGGAAAATGGAAACGCAGTTTGTAACTTAGTTTGAATATTGAACTTCTGGGTTATTTTTCCGGAACTTTGATCTGTTTTATGTGTCTACTAATCATCTCATAATAGATAATTTTTATCTATTAATAACCTGATCATTGCTCTACCCCTACATTGGAATGTAAAATAGCAGAAGTAATCCTACCTATGCTGGTACTTTCAGCATAGACTTTACCACGCTAATCAGTTCATGAAACTCCATATTCTGAAAGTGGCCACGGTCAGTGAATCTGTACAATTTGGCTTCCAACCTATCAGCCACTTCTTGTTGTTCCTTCCAGGGAAGGAAAGGATCATCAGTGGAGCCAAACTGCACAATGTAAGGGCAGTTGGCTTTGATCTTCTCCCACTGCCATGGACGGTTGAAGTATCCTATGGGAAAAAAATATACATATAGCCTATTACCGCCCATGGATAATTCCCATTCTAGCCATGGTAAAATATCTAGTGAAGACCATAGCAGACACACAGATTCCGAGCCTGTGAGTTACAAGTCCATTAGTTTTCAAATCTGTAGGGCTTAATACCATAGCTACTTGTGAAGGGGTGTATGTGGCTCAGATAAAATCAGGCCTCTAGGGTTCAATGCATTAGAAAATGGTCTATCATCTCTCAAAGGGTCTAATTTGTAAAAAAGAAGGGCAGCAAATGTTTCTCATCTGTTACGAGAGGGTTTTTTTAGCCTATTCAAAAGCCAGTACTGTTTAACCTGAACAGGTAGCCCTGTGATTAGAGGAAGGGCTTTTCTGAATCAGTTTCAAACTTACCACTGGCACGCTCGTTTTCATCCCCCAAGTCAGAGGTATATGCAGACACTAACACAATAGCATATACTCGGTGTGTTTCTGCATACCTGGAGAAAGAGAAATGATGTCAACTAATACTTAATGTTAAATCTGATTGCCGAAAAGTAAAAAAAGAAACAAAAAAACACATGAAAACTCATTTGATCTAGCTTACAAAAAACAGGTGCTGTTGAGGTTAATTTAAAAAAAGTAAGGGGGCGCCTGGGTGGCACAGTCGGTTAAGTGTCCGACTTCAGCCAGGTCACGATCTCGCGGTCCGTGAGTTCGAGCCCCGCGTCAGGCTCTGGGCTGATGGCTCAGAGCCTGGAGCCTGTTTCATATTCTGTGTCTCCCTCTCTCTCTGCCCCTCCCCCGTTCATGCTCTGTCTCTCTCTGTCCCAAAAATAAATAAACGTTGAAAAAAAAAATTAAAAAAAAAAAAAAGTAAGGAAGCTACAGAACTCCAAGCCCAGTGGTTAATAAATTACCCTTGGCTACTTGATGAGTTTCTACTTATTTTTCAAGGTAGTCCAAACCTCTTTGGTAATCCTTTCAAAAAAAACAAAAAGTGGGGGCAACTAGGTGGCTCAGTAGGTTGAGTGTCCAACTTCGGCTCAGGTCGTGATCTCGCGGTTCATGAGTTTGAGCCCCACATCAGGCTTACTGCTATCAGCCTGTCACAGCAGAGCCTGCTTCAGATCCTGTCCCCCTCTTTCTGCCCCTCCCCTGATTGCACTCTCCCCCCCCCAAAAAAATTTTTTTTTAAGTGTAATCATTCTCTTTGATGTGCCTATTAACCTACCTTCAGTATGCATCAGCATTGCTTGGTTGGTTAACATGTAGATTCAGTCCCGGAGCATCTGATTCAAAGTTGGTGTGAGGCCCAGGGATCTGCATCTTAAGGCATGACACCTCCCCCACAACCCGGATGACTAATACAAGTGATCTGTGAACCATATTTTATGTACCATAGCGGAAATGTACCTCTTTTGCTGCACATTCCACATTGTATTGTACTTCTCTTTGCGTTGTATTATATCTGTCTTCCCCAATAAACCTTCAGCTCCTTAAGGGCAGGTGTGAGCCTTCTTGATTTCTATGACCCTGGTGCCTAGTACAGTGCCCACAAGCAGACACTCGGCAAAGATTAGGCTAGGGAAAGATGTGGAATAGTAATAGCTTCAAGGGGCCTTTGTGCCAGGAAAAATTTAGGGTTGGTATTTTGTTTTGCAGTCTAAACTTTTTGCCCAAGAATTTGTTTTGAAAAATTTCAAACCTACAGGACAGTTAGAACAACAAGCACTTGATTCATTAATTTTACCACACTTCACACCTAAATACATCAACTGTGTCCCCTAAGAACAAGGTATTCTCTTACATATCCACAGTGCCATTATTACACCCAGTACATTTAACACTGAGACAGTAATACACAGATCCTGATAATGGCGCTTGAACTCACAAACTATGAGATCACGACCTGAGCCGAAATCAAGATCCAGACACTTAAACAACTGAACCACCAAGCACCCCAAACTGCTTTTCAATCCTAGATCCAGTCAAAGATCACACATTGCATTTGGTTTTCATGACTCTTTAGTCCCTTTTAAATTTTTTGTTTTAAATGACATTGACATTTTCTAAGAGTTTAATAAGCCAATTAATTGTCTTGTATATCACCCCTAAATTGAATTTTTGTTTCCTCGTGATTAGACAGAGGTTAAACATTTTTGGCAAGAATACTACATAGGCAATGTGTCCTTCCCACTCCATCACATCAGAGACACACAATGCCAGTGTCCCTTTATTGGTGAGATTAAGTTTGATTACTTAAGGTGATATCAGATATCCATTGTAAAGACACAATTGTCCACTTTGTGATTAGTAAGTAATCCGCAGGGTGGTCCTCTGTGGCTCTACCAATATCCTTTTCCCCTACCATCTTATACCACATACTGGCATGTATTTTCTCCTTGCCTACCTTAACTTTAGATGTTAATTTTTAGGTTGCAGACAATCCTGCAGTGAGTTTATTATTTTTTATTTTATTTTTAAGAGAGAGACAGAACGTAAGCAGGGGAAGGGCAGAGAAAGAGGGAGACACAGAATCTGAAGCAGGCTTTAGAGTCTGAGCTGTCAGCACAGAACCTGACAAGCAGGGCCTGAACCCACAAACCGTGAGATTATGACCTGAGCCAAAGTCCGACGCTTAACCGACTGAGCCACCCAGGTGCTCCAGGGATCTTTTTTTTTTTTTAAGTTTATTTATTTTGAGAGAGAGAGAAAGAGAATGAGCAGGGGTGGGGCAGAGAAAGAGGATACCAAGCAGGCACTGCCCTGCCAGCACAAAGCCCAATGTGGGGCTCGAACCCATGAACCATGAGATCATGACCTGAGCCAAAATCAAAAGTCAGACACCCAACCGACTGAGCCACCCAAGGTGCCCCAGTTACAGGGATCTTTAAAAGAAGGCACATCTGGGGCGCCTGGGTGGCTCAGTCAGTTGAACATCCAACTTCGGCCCAGGTCACGATCCCATGCTTCATTGGTTTGAACCCCGCGTCGGGCACTGTGCTGACAGCCTGGAGCCTGGAGCCTGCTTTGGGTTCTGTGTCTTCCTCTCTCTCTGCCCCTCCCCTGCTTGCACTCTGTCTGTCTCCCCAAAATAAATAAATATTTAAAAAAATTTTTTAAAAAGAAGGCACATCTTTATTAGCCAATAGCCTGAGAAAAATTCAGTTGGCCTTGAGTTGGTACAGATTTCAGCATAAAGGGATTTCTTCATTTTCCAACCTTTGGCAGCTTATGAACACTAAGCTCCACACTGGAAAGCATTATCTCATAGCTTCAAATGGCAGAAAGGCTATGGAATTTGGCAGGGTTCCCTGACATGCAATTTATATGCCAGCCTGAGCGACTGCTTGGGACAAGAGGTTACACAAAAACTATATTCCTTCCTCATCCAGCCTAGCAAATGTGCAAGAAACCCAACCCTAATATGCTTATTCAGCCAGCTAAGTCCTATCCTCTAGGCCTCATAAGCCTAAAGGGAGAGACATGATGTTATAACCGAGAGCATCAGGAAGTATCATGAATCCTAAGGACTGGGGGCGGGGAGTGGTGGAGGGTGGTGTAACAGCCTCTGCCCTCCAACAAATATTTATTTAGCACCTTAGCACCTACCATATGGCAGACACTCTTCTAGGCACTAAGGTCCCAGTGTCAGAGTGAACAAAGCCCCACCCTCATGTTGCTTACATTTTTATTGGCCAGAGACAGGCAAGAAATAAACAAGACATCAGATGTTGAAAAGTGTAATAGATTAAAAGAGGGATACCAAGATATAAAGGGGATAGGAGCCATTGTTTCATTTGGAGTGATTAGAGTAGGCCTCAGTGAAAAGAGACATTAAGTAGAGACTTAAAGAAAAGAAAGCCATGCAAGTACCTAGAAACAGTATACCAGGTAGAACAGGGGCCAGCACAGGCCTAAGGTAGGTACAGAGTTGGCAAGTTCAAGGAACTGCAGTGAGGTCTGTAAGCCAGCTGGAGCCCACACAGGGTGACTATTGAACAAGGATCGCACCTCATGGCTGCAATGGCCCCAGAACTGTGGCCTATGATGATGGTCTTCTCATCACAGCGTAGCTCCGTCTCCATGAAGGGCAGCCAGATGCTCTCTCGAGCTGTAACTAAGGTTCGGGGTAAAGAAAGAGTGTCATTTGATAGGGACAGTCTTAGTCTAATACCACCCCACCTTTCTGACAGAGGACTACTTAGCATTTCTCAACTTAAGAACTTCAGGACCACATAGGAGACGGGGCTGTTTCAATAGAGCCAAAGATTTATATGTTGCTGCTTGAGAGACTCAAGTCCATAGTTTTGCTATATACATACACACACACACATATATGGCTTTTATTTTTTTTTTATTTTACCATGTTCTTATAAGAAAATACTGAGGAAATAATAAAAATATAATTCTGCAGCTTTAATGTAAACTTAAGAGATAACTCTAGGGGCACCTGGGTGGCTCAGTCGGTTAAGCATCCGACTTCAGCTCAGGTCATGATCTCATGGTTCATGAGTTTGAGCCCCGCATTGGGCTCTGTGCTGACAGCTCAGAGCCTGGAGGCTTCTTTGGATTCTGTGTCTCCCTCTGTCTCTCTGCCCCTCCTCTGCTCGTACTCTGCCTCTCTCTCTCTCAAAAATAAATTTAAAAATTTTTAAAAAAAGAAATAACTCTAGACAACATTCTCAAATTCACATGTATAAATATGCTTTCTTTCCTAAGAGGAAATTCCTGACACAAGTCATGGGCATAGTCAGAACAAAAGTGGCAGTGTTACATTTTGAAATATTTGGATCTCATATAGGTGCTGTGAAGTTTTATCATATCTCTGTCTCACATGAAACACTCATACATTTTGCCTGAAAATATCTGTTGAATCTGTTGACTTATAGAAGGGAAAACTGAGTTGCTTAAAAAGTGGAAAATTAAATTTTACCAAGCCCGGGTGCTTTTCTCGATCCTTACTAGAATTTTCTATGATGCTTTTTGGTTTACACCCTTTTCCCCAAACTACTTGCCTTCATTCATTCTTAGGTATATACTCCCTTTGGCTTCTCTACTATGATATTCCTGTTCTATACCAGGAAAATGGCAAGATCAAAACCCAACACGATGAGGCTATTTAAAAACATGTTTAAAACTTACTTGGGTCAGGCATGTTTTTAGCCAAACACTGGAAACCAGGTATCTATGACATGAGGGGAAAAAAAAGCTATAATAAAGAGCTTAATTACAACTAATACTTTGCTAATAAGAAATGAGACACCTGATATGATCTCTATCAATTCAATAAGTCTTTGCTTACATTATGAAATGAAGCAGGTTAAGTGCCATTGGATTCCATGTGAACAGACAATCCCTCCTGATAAACTGCCTTCTATCTGTAGTTCTTACCTAGCCAGCTCTGTACATATTTGCATTTGTGCATCTCTGTTTATCACCGTAGGCATGTATCTACACAGGCATCATGAATGAATGCATGCTAGGCAAACTGGAGTCAAAAAGACTGTGCACCAGGAAGTAGGTAAAACATGGTACAAAATGTGGTACAGAAAGTTGGAGATCCCACCCTCTTGGACAGCTTCAGTCCTGCTCTTTTTGATCTGTAGCTCTGGCCTTGGTTTTCAGCCACAACCTGAAATTTTCTTCTAGACACATACTCTAGAGCTCTAAAGGATGGCAACCCAGGAAGCAGTCCTATTGACTGGTTATGGAAGAGTTTAAAAAAAAAAAATCAAGATGCACAAGACAATTACAGTGGGACACAACACCATTTGTGTAAAGCTCACAAAGAAACCAAATTAAATAAGATATTGTTCAAAGTATACCCACATAGCTGCAAAGGTATGTTCATTTTTAAAAGAGGAGCAAATGAAAAAAATTTCAGGGAAATGGGATTGGGGGGGTATACATGTGGCTTCCAAGGTATTGTTAATGTTGCAGAGTTTAGTTTGGTTATGGAGTCTCAGGTATTCATTACATTATACTTCACAATTTCCATGTATGTTACATTCATCTTTTTCCTATGTTAAATATTACATACTGATTTTTTTTTTTTTATCTGAGGCAGGAAACAGAGAAGACAGAGATACACTTATCTAGTAAGCCCCAAATCTGAACCAGCAACAGATGCAGAGAGACAGGGGGGTGCTCTAAGAGGTGGTGCCTTGTACTCTAACCACGGAATCTTCAGAGAAGTCTTCCGGGCAGTTTTATCCACCAAAATTCTGACCACTAGTTCTAGAGTTTGAGACAGGGCAGCGGGGAGAGCAGTGAAACACAGGGCTTCGCTGAAGGGGTGGGGGGCTGGGGACGAGGTGAACACACGTTCAAACTTCAGTCCACTGTCCCCGCTGTCCCTTCAAGGCTCCCAGCGTGGTCAGGCTTGTCTCTTACCTGCTCCAGCCCCTTCTTCACCCAGCCGTACCAGCCGTGGGTGGCCACATCCCCACCTCCATTCCCAGGAACAATAACTGCCTTGCTCGGGGAAGCCATGAGCGCAGAGGGTTTGATGTGGACCAGCAGCAGGGCCTGCAGGGCCGGGAGCCCGAGACTGCATCCGCTGGGAGCCTGCACTGTGGCATTCTGGGAATTGTAGTTCTGGGGCGCCGGTGGGCCGGCTCTTGGACTCCGGCCGCCCTTACTGAAGAAGGTGGCCAAAGCAAACTTCCGAGTTTCCAGCAAATATAAAAAGCCTTTCACTTGCCTCTTGCTAGCGTTCTGGTCCCCTCCTCGCCTTATTTAGGACAGGCTTTTACACGCCCAGAATATACTCTCCCTTTACTAGAATTATGATATATTTCTATTGGAAAGTGTGGTTTTAGTTCCAAATATACAGAAATAACCTTTTTATGAGTTGAGGACTCGTGGAATTCTTATTACTTTTCCTTCTGATTTTGAAACATTTGTTGCTAGTACAGTTGTCACTGTCAGCCCTGGTTGTTATTTTTCATTGCTTTCAATGTTGTCCTTTTAAAAGCTATCACCATTGGTGATGGCACATGGATAACATTCACAATTGATGTGAGGAACAAAGGCAGAAGAAAAAATTAATATTTACTTACAACTTACAGCCCAATGACAAGTCCTTGAGACAGGCAAAGTGATATTCCTCTGGAAGCTCATCTCCCTTGATGATGACAATTTGCTAAGGGCAAAAGGCAATCTTAGCTTAATGTTATTTGGACCTCCAGCATCCTGTAAGTCTACTTTATTTATTTATTTATTTATTTATTTATTTATTTATTTTAAATTTTTTTTTCAACGTTTATTTATTTTTGGGACAGAGAGAGACAGAGCATGAACGGGCGAGGGGCAGAGAGAGAGGGAGACACAGAATCGGAAACAGGCTCCAGGCTCTGAGCCATCAGCCCAGAGCCTGACGCCGGGCTCGAACTCACGGACCACGAGATCGTGACCTGGCTGAAGTCGGACGCTTAACCGACTGCGCCACCCAGGCGCCCCAAGTCTACTTTAAACATAAAAAAATTCCTTTGGAAACTTCCTTTATCTCTCTCCCTCCCCAGATATATGTTGACAATCATACTGCAAGCTTACAGCCCCTTAATATACATCTGAAGGGTCTCATGATTGAGTTTTTATTAAACAGTAATAAATGACATTTTCCTAACAGCAACTAGCCCCTCAGTGTCCTGGAAACCTTGTTGCCAAAATACCTTAGAGACTTTCCCTGTCCCTAACCCCCTCCCAACCTGAAGGTATATAATCAGTCACCGTCACAACCCCAGTGCAGCACTTTCTGCGCACGAAGCCTGTCTCTGTGCTTTAATAAAACCACCTTTTTGCACCAAAGACATCTCAAGAATTCTTTCTCCGAATGCCAATATTTTCCACATCAATACTTTAACAAATTTAGAGACTGGGAAAACTGAAGTAGCAATGCAGTGGTTTACCTATTATGATATGGCAGTCCTGAAATTTTAGGAAACAGATATACCTTATAGATTTATCAAAATCTTTTGTACTGGGGTGGGCAAATGTATGCTTATGTGGTTAAAAATGGGAATAAACAGGGGAGCCTGGGTGGCTCAGTTCATTAGGCATCTGACTCTTGATTTTGGCTCAAGCCATGATCTCCCAGTGGTGGGATGGAGCCCAACGTGAGGCTCCACACTGGGCATGAAGCCTACTTAAGATTCTCTCTCTTCCTTGGGACACCTGGGTGGTTCAGTCAGTTAAGGATCTGACTTTGGCTCAGGTCATGATTTCACGGTTTGTAGGCTGTGCTGATGGCTTGGAGCCTGGAGCCTGCTTCAGATTCTATGTCTTCCTCTCTCTTTGCCCCTCCCCTGCTCGTGCTCTCTCTCTCTCTCTCTCTCTCTCTCTCTCTCTCTCTCTCTCTCTC